GACGACGGTAACCTCAGCGCCAAGTCACCAATCACGTTCTTTTGGTAGACTCCACACATACGCGTGGCGGCAGGAGGCGGCGATGGCGATGGACCTTCGCGGGGGGGCTCACAAATCTGTGGCGACTTGTGAGGACTCCACTGCGGCGCTATGCCTGTTTTTCACCATGGGCTCACAAATTTGTGACAACTTACGAGGACTCCACTGTGGCGTTGTAAATGCATGTTTCCACCACCATTAATATGGATGCCACCTGCCCCGCATTGTTGTGGTGATGTCCAGCACCCAATTTGAAATTAGATTTGTGAATGGGGAGGTCGATTTTTATGGGGTTTTCTTTTCCCTTTGCCAGCGCCTTTCAATATTTCCAGCCTTTGGCAGCTGAAGCACACCGTAGCGAGATGGACATCACCCAATGGACCAAGGCATTGCACCCCCCTGAGGCCAGCTATAAGATTATTATGAGATGGCCGCCGTGGCCCAAAAGAATCATCCTTGGGAGACCACCGACAGCGGGAATTTCCTTCAAAACCCCGAAGGAAACTTCCTTCGGGTGAGGACGTCCCAAGGAGTGTCTAACTAGCCCCGTTAACAGGGGTGGCTTTCGAGATGAACGGGCCTGGGCCGGTAGCCCCTAGCCAAGTGGAAACGGCACGATTTTTCCACTTTTCGCTGGCCGTTAGCGCGGAGCATGTTTAGGAGGTACGGGTGGTTTAACAGGTTTACCCTTAAAAAAAGGTCTCAATACCTTTCTCGGCCTTTTGGCTAAGATCAAGAGTAGTATCTTGTCTGATCCGTGGTCCATTGGACTGCATGATATTAAATTAATTTTTCTGGGCCATGGAGGGGTCTTATGGGTAAAGCTTGCTTATTCGATCACTCCAGTGTTGCCTCTGTATTGCACTGCAGCAGAGTGTGGTGCAGCCCTTCCCCTCCACAGGGATTTAAAAAAAAAAAAAAAAAAAAAAAAAGAAAAACGAAAAAAAAAAAAAAAAATGAAAAAAAAAAAAAACGACAATGGTTTTTTTTGGCCTTTTTAAAAAAAAAAAAAAAAAAAAAAAAAAAAAAAAAGGTGCAGCAAGAGAAGGGGCAAAAAATATAATGGGGTTTCCCCAAACAGAAGACGGAAGTCTCGAATGGTGATGATGGTGGTGGTGACTGATGGACCTTTCAATGCGCAGTGGGGGTTTTGTCTATGATGATGATCATAGTCATCGACATCATGACATGTATTTTGAGGGGGCGATTTTGTATCTTCATTTGTGTGCATGATGATATTATATCTAACAACCCTTCACCAATCATTACGGCACCCACGAACTCTGCGGAAGAAGCTCTATGTCGGCAGCCGGGCTCGCTCCACCACTCATCGAACCGAGGTTTGCACTCGTGAGTGCTGGCCACGTAGCTTAAGTGTATCTGACTGCATTTACGGCCAGACCTGGATGCATCTGGTCGCAATTACTGCATATCAGGGAAAAAGAGCTCTTAGACTAGTGGGAGTGTGCTCGTTTACATAGAGGAATTCGCGGCGCCAAGTGCTGACCACGGTCAGTTCTCACCAAATTAAACCACCAGTACACCTAAAGTTGTGCCCGTTAACAAAAGCCACAATCTAAGGAAATGTACGGGCCACTACAGGAGCGCCCAAATTCATCCGACTAGAAACGTTTCTACACTTTTTTTTTTTGGGTCGATAGCTGGTCCCAAGTACTGGTTGGTCGTCATCGGTCCGGCAATGCTGAACTTAGGGCGTGCTCATACTACCGTCTTCCCCTGAACACAACGCACCCTTATTTTGGCTGTATCTTGCTGGAAATATAGCTTGTATACATTCATTTTTAGGGTGCGTTATGATGGGGGGAAAGACGGTAGCTATACCGTTTACGGCCAGACCTGGATGCATCTGGCCACAATTTTTGAAGTTAGGAAAAAGGGTAGCTATACCGTTTACGGCCAGACCTGGATGCATCTGGCCACAATTTTTGAAGTTAGGAAAAAGGGCACTACTCGTGAGTATATACCTACTTCCCCTGAACACAACGCACCCTTATTTTGGCTGTATCTGGCCGGAAATATGGCTTGTATACATTCATTCTTACGGTCCGTATGTTCGGGGGAAGACGGTAGTGTGAGTGTATACCCTCTCGTTTACGTCCAGGAATGTGCACTCCGTGATGAATGAGCTGAGGCTCCTTGTTGGCTGGTTGGCATACTGTACATACAAAAGCAAATGAACAAGTTTTTGAGGAGCCCCATCTACATAGAGGAATTCTTAACCGCCAGTACTGGGCCCAGCTATCGGCCCGCAGAAAAAAAAAAAAAAAAAACAGAGTAGAAACACTTTTAGTTGGACGACGGATGCATTTGGGCGCTCCTGTAGTGGCCTGCATGTTTCCTAAAATTGTGGCTTGTAAACTGACCCCACTTAAAAAAGTACTGGTGGCTTAAAGTAGGTTTGTGGAGCATGAAGAACTCGTAGTTGGCTGTAGTACTAGTATTCCACTGAACACAATGGACCCTCATGTGATTGAGTGAAAACTGGTGCCACCTAAGAAGTTTCCTAAACAACAGCAGTCTACAGTCAATCTTTCTGGTGTGATTGAGTGAAAACTGGTGCCACCTAAGAAGTTTCCTAAACAACAGCAGTCTGAGAGGGTAGAGCAGCTGGCCAACTGCCTTTTCCTGTGGGCATAACAGCTGCAGCAATTGAAAGCTGCAGCAGAAGTGCTGACAGCTGGGGCAGCAGAAGCAGCTGTGGCCGCAGCAGATGTAAATGCGGTGGTGGGGGCATTGGGGGGGGCAGAGACAGGTGCGCGGAGATTGGAAGCCTTAGGTAAAATTGTTCAACAGTTGATGAAGTGGATAGGATGGCGTGCAGTGGGCCCCTCTTCCTGGGTGTGGGCAAGGTCCCACTTGAGCAAACTAGGAGATCTTGACCGTTGATCTTTGCTATCTACTGTCAGTATCTCTTAATTCGTGCAAGTGGTCCCACTTGCGCAAACTAGGAGATTTCGGCCGTTGATCTTTGCGATCTACGGTCAGTATCTCTTAATTCGTGCAAGTGGGAGTCGTCAGGCAATCGGCGACAAGAAGGTAACATTGTTCAACAGTTGATGAATTGGATGGGATGGCGTGCAGTGGGCACCTCTTCCTGGGTGTGGGCACCTCTTCCTGCAGTGGTTGGGCAAAGGCCCTCAGGCTGCCACCATGCAAGCGTGGATTGGGTACGACTACCTTCTTGTCGCCGATTGCCTGACCTGACGACTCACATGGCCGCAGCATCGGGTACGATTACCTTCTTGTCGCCGATTGCCTGACGACTCACACGACCACAGCATCGGGTACGATTACCTTCTTGTCGCCGATTGCCTGACAACTCACGTGGCCGCAGCATCGGGTATGATTACCTTCTTGTCGCCGATTGCCTGACGACTCACACGGCCGCAGCATCCCAACTGTTCTTGGACGGGAACAGGTTTTGTGTACGTTCGGGGTGATGGGGTTATGGGGGAAAAGTAACCACCAGCGGTCATATAGTGGCCGCAGGATAGAATGGAGTAGGGAAGTGTTTCTAGTCGGATGAATTTGTGCGCTCCTGTAGTGGTGGCCGTACGTACATGCTTGTCGCAGCCAATGCGCCGCTGCGACTTTCGAAGATCATAACCAGCCTCCACTAGGATCTGTGTAAATCCCGATCATTGCAGATCTGACGACTGGCTTCCCCCGAACAAACACAGGAGTTGTAAACAAAGACATTGCATATGTTGCTTGATCTATTTGAATACAAAGTGCATCCATTTTTTTTATTTTTTTTTTGGTCACAACAACATTCTTCATTCACCACAACCTGAAGAGACTAAATGGTCGCAGTGTGATATATTCGAACAGCAGGCAGGCAAATCGGGTCTCATATTTTTGCCTACAGCTGTGGCATCCGGACTGTTCTTAGACTGAAACAGGGTTTGTGTACATTCAGGTCGATGGGGTAATGGGTGTGGGGGAAATTAAGGTAGTCCATCCAGGCAGGCAAATTGGGTCTTGCAAACCCCAAAAATACAAAATAAAATAGACACACAAGGTGAAATCGTATATCCAATTTTTTTCTGGCATCGTCAAACTCACGGAATTGCCCTCCGAACCTATGTGCGAATTTAAATAGTTGCCCATTACACGGCGCACTAACTCTACTTGGCACTTGTTTTGAGATCTCTTACCTAATTTGGGGGGGGCGGGTTTTCGCTGGATCATGTGACCAACTACACCCGTGGACTTTGCCGAGTAGATGGATTTCGATAGGCGAAACTGCACACCGGTGCATTCCGCCCAAGGCACCAGCGTGCACAGCGCATTCCTTCAAACGCGTGTACTGGGAAATGTACTCAGTCTGGTGTTAAAACTTAAAACTTAAAACCACCCTTATAAAGCCGGAGCCTCCAAAACTTCTGTAGGCGACAAGTTGCATTGTCAGCGAGGCTGGGGCGCGTACTACTCAGTCTTGTATTTTGAGCCACCAGTACTTGGCCCAGCTATCGGCCTTGGGAAAAAATAGAGTAGAAACATTTCTAGTCGGATGAATTTGGACGCTCCTGTAGTGACCCGTACATTTCCTAAAATTGTGGCTACTGGCGTTTTAACCCTCCACTATTTAGGCTGTGTACTGATCTGCTATTTGCTCTAAGGCTGGGGCCTGTACTGGGGTTCTTCTTAACTACTGAGGGCCAGATCCCACTGGCAAAGAGGATTGGAAGGAGTGTCTAAATCTGGACGTGTTTGTGGCGAGGTGCAGAAAACTGTGATTGATCTGGTTTTCTGCATCTCTGCGTGGAACACGTCCAGATTCAGACACTTACTCCAATCGTCCTTGCCAGTGGGATCTGGCCCTGAGGCTGTTAACTGATCTGCAGTTGTTCTGTGTGCCTGAGAAAATACAAACTGGCGTCGGTGGATGTATTGTTTCTATTATAATTTATAATTATAATTATTTTGTAAGTATTGTCGCAGGCTGATGAATGTATGGCTGGTGTACCTGGTCAGCAATAGCCATAAGGAATGGTCGGAATGGATACTAGCTGTGGATTTGATTTCAGCAATAGCCATGAGGAATGTATAGCTGTGGATATGATTCTGTGCTGGGTAGGTTGTATTAACAATCTTGGGGCTTAGCTTTAACCCCACCCCATTCACCCTATTGGGGCTTCACTTTAACCCCAACCCATTCATCTTGGGGCTTCACTTTTAACCCCAGTGCACCCCGTTCACCCTAATGGGTCAGGTATCTGCCTGGCAAGCGGTATGTTGTGTGTTCGATTGTTGTGTTCGATATACACATTACAGCTGTATTTCCTGTTTTTAGTATTTAGCCCTTTTTGGCCCCCTAATAGTGTCGAGGTCCATTACTCTCTGCTGGCCTCCACTTGTGTCCTGTTACTCATGCTTTTTTTTTTTTTTTTTTTTTGCAGCAGCAGCAGCATCAGCAGCAGCAGGGTTCGGGTTCCGATAGGGATTTAAAAAAAAAAACACATCGGTAAAGCTATAGTAACCGTAATTTTGGTTGAAACTTGAAGTTGATCTGTTGCCCCATTGGGGCTCATTAGACACTCCTTGGGCGCGTCAAGTCCCCGAGGAATTGTTGGTTCCACCTACCCTCCGAGGATTCCCCAGCCAAGTAATCCGCGTTTGACGGAGAGGAGCAGGCACATGGGTAGCGAGACGTTACAACAGAGAATCTGGATCAAGTCTGGATCGTGGTGGCACCCTATTGGCTGAAGGCCTCAAGCACATTTGATTTTTTTTTCCTGTTCTTTTTTCTCTTCTGACATTGCTCGAAGGAAATGTCCTCGGGGACGAGGACGACGTCCCCGAGGACAGGTGGAACGAAGGGTCCAAATTTCCTTTTGAACCAAAAGGAATTTTTCTTTTTGCCCGAGGTTTTCAATAGGAGTGTCTAACGAGCCCCATTGGCTATTTGTGTTTTTTTTTTGGGGTAACTACGGCGCAATCACGAAAACTGTTTGTAAATGCACTTCAAACTGCTTTTTCGCGCTTCAGTCACGGCCCGAGTTTGAAATGCATTTCAAACTTGGCTCGGTAGCAGTTCAGTCAGGGCCCTCGTCCATCCACGAGCAGCAGATGAGAAAAAAAGAAAAAAAGTATCCCTTATGTGGTGATTGCGGTCCGATACAGGATGTACAGTACTTGTCTGGAACCCGTGGAATCCGCCCTGCCTGGCTGGCAGGGCGCTACAACGACCTCACAACAAAAAGGAAACAAAAAAAACGATATGATTCACGGTCCTCACATACTGGCCAGACAAGCTACTCTTTTCTTTTCTTTTTTTTTTCTTCTGTTTTCTTTTCCTTTTCTTTTGGCTCCATGCAATCAGACTCGTTTTCAAACACACTTTTCACACATGTAAACAGTAACGCAGCATACTGGCGACATGCGCCCACTCAAACTCAGAGATATTTCACTCCCAATTGGCTATGGCTACCTCAGCGCCCAAACATCTCACTGTTCACATACACGGGATCACCCTGGATATCCCACACGCATAACACTCGAGCACACACACACACTCACTASTAACTACAGCTATGGCAGCTATGGCTGCCTCTAACCTATCGCTATGCTAACTCCTCCTCTCTTGCCCACTGCGTCCTCCGGGCTCATCTGCAGACCTCCTTGCACAGGTCGCTGTGGCAGCGCTTCCGCATGGCTCACGCAGGAATGAATGAATGGCTGGGCGCTGCCTCTTGATTTATACTTCAGAAATTCGTTGGTCTGCCCTTTGCCGTCGGCCCTTGGTGCTCACAGTCCCCCTGTGGTACTTGCTGGAC